AAAACAAAAACAAAAAAAAAGTTCTGTAGGTTGTTTTCCTTTAATCGTAATTTAACGTGCACTTTTTTCTGACTATAGTGTTTTCTCTATTTTAACCACAAATAATTCAGTAGCGGACATATTTAAAATCGCACTCAAAATTTGAAGACGCTATTTAATTCTACGTAATTTTTGACATAACCATCCCATATTATAGTTTGGAAGGGCGTTTTCATCTAATCGTAATTTAACGAGCGCTTTTTTCTGTCTACGCTGTTTTCTCTATTTTAGCCATAAATAATTCAGTAGCGGACTTTTTAAAGTCGCATTCGAAATCTGATTGTACCATTACATTCTACGTACTTTTTGACTTAACCGTCCCTTATTATAGTTGAAAAGGGTGCTTTCATCTATTCGTAATTTAACGTGCGCTTTTTCTGTCTAATTTACGCTGTTTTCTCTATTTTAACAATAAATAATTCAGTAGCGGACGTATTTGAAATCGTACTCGAAATCTGAAGGTACCATTAAATTCTACGTACTTTTTTACATTATTATCCCCTTTTACAGTTGAGTAGGTAGCTTGCATATAATCGTAATTTAACGTGCGCTTTTTTCTGACTAAAATGTTTTCTCTATTTTAACCATAGATAATTTAGTAGTGGACTTAGTTGAAATCGCACTTGAAATCTGAAGGCACCATTAAATTCTACGTACTTCTTTACATTATCATCCCCTTTTACAGTTGAGTAGGTAGCTTGCATATAATCGTAATTTAACGTGCGCTTTTTTCTGACTAAAATGTTTTTTCTATTTTAACCATAAATAATTCAATAGCGGACTTAGTTGAAATCGTACTCGAAATCTGAAGGTACCATTAAATTCTGCGTACTTTTCTACATTATCATCCCCTTTTACAGTTGAGTAGGTAGCTTGCATATAATCGTAATTTAACGTGCGCGTTTTTGTTTCTAATACGCTGTTTTCTCTATTTTAACCATAAATAATTCAGTAGCGGACGTATTTGAAATCGTACTCGAAATCTGAAGTCAATGTTACATGGTTTTTTACATAAGCATTCCGGTTTATAGTTGTTTAAGTAGTTTGCATCTAATCGTAATTTAGCGTGCGCTTTTTTCTGACTAAAATGTTTTCTCTATTTTAACCATAGATAATTCAGTAGTGGACTTAGTTGAAATCGCACTTGAAATCTGAAGGCACCATTAAATTCTACGTACTTTTCTACATTATCATCCCCTTTTACAGTTGAGTAGGTAGTTTGCATATAATCGTAATTTAACGTGCGCTTTTTTCCGTCTACATCGTTTTTGCTATTTTAACCATAAATAATTCAATTTGAAATCGTACTCGAAATCTGAGGGTACCATTAAGTTCTATATTTTTTATATTAAACTTTATGAGACTTGCGTCATAAATACAAACTGATATTTTATTTATTTATTTATTTACGATTAGTTATATGTGACGGGTAATTTTTAGTGAAGTTGAGCTCTTTCATTGTTTTAATGCTATACCATTATCGAGGGAGTTGTTTCGTATTTGTTATATTAATAAATATAATAAAGCTGTTTTTGTAGTTATGAATAGTTATAACATTTTCTCAAGCGTAATTTTCTGTCTTTTATTCTCCGAATACTTGCTCTCTCATCAAACAGTCGTATGCTTGAACGGTCGACCGAGAGAATAAGACATTTGTTCGTCTTGATATAATTAGCAATTAAAAATTCGTTTTGAAATTTGATGCTTAATTTTTTGTATTTTTTTACACTTGTACTACAAAGAGTATGTGTTGATTTGTCTATTCTGTAATATGTGGTGTATAATTTCGGAAATGAAAGAATCAAAGCTGAAAACTCATTCATTGCTTGAATGCCTTACTATTCTGGAAGTGGTTGTCATGTATATTTAATATTTTCAAATATAATATAGCTCTTTTTGTAGTAAAGAATAGATATAACATTTTCCAGGCGGAAGCTTCTATCTTTTATTTTCCGAATACTTGCTCTCTTATCAAATATTCGTATGCTTGAACGGTCGACCGAGAGAACAAATGATTGGTATGGTATATCATTCAAGATTGGCAGAATCAGTTTTGAATTTATGATTACATTGAACTGTTATCGTTTATAGTCACAAAAGAGAACGTTTATTATCTGTTTTTATACTTCAGTGGATTGTTTTCATCTAATCGTAATTTAACCTGGGCTTTTTTACAACTGCCTCGTTTTCTCTGCTTTAACCGCAAATAATTCGACAAGAAATTTAAAGTATTTAAAGTTTTTTATGTTTTATTATCCTTTAAAATGAAGTTTTTCCTATTCCCGACTACGGATCAACCGTTAGTGAAAGAATTTTCACGCCGTTTTTAATAGTTCGCCAGATATGTTGTTCTAAACATTTAAATTCTCGATTTCAAAGACAATAACTAGGCCGAAACTTTCGACAACCATAACTTTGATATGGAATGTTGTAGACAGGCGCTTGCATCTTCGACGCAGTGCACAGTATCTTTAGAAAATTTTGATAATACATCCGCAGAAATCGGACCATTTAATCCGAAAATATGGGCCATCCTGTGGACTCAGAAAAACGCTAAAACGAACGATAGGGCAAATTATACGAATTGGGTCGGCTCTAGCGGAGACCAGGAATGTCCCAATTCGAAACAAGTTTCGATGAAAATTTGCCACATTTATTGGGCTTCCAACGAGACTTGTTTGGTATTTATGAGACTTATATATTATAGATGCGGAGCTACGATTTTTTTTGACATAGTATAAGCTGTAGCTGAACAACGGCATAACTTATCGGAAAAATTTTTTCATCACAGGTGTCCCGGCCAACGTTATGAGACGTCTGCGGTTGCATTCTGCTTTGATGAAAAATTCAAAATATTTAAAAATTTTTAATTTTTTTTCTTCGAAGTTAGGTTTTTCTTGTTCGTGACGATACGGCTCTTAATCTTGTATTTTCTAATTCATTCTTTTTTATATAGATTACTATCTGCTTTCTTTCTTTATTTTTACTGTAACTTGTTTTACATGCTTTCCTTCCTTTTTTATGTATATTAACACTAGTTTTTATTCACTTTCACCTTGTAAATTCTTTTCCTTTTACTAATTTGAGAACCTTTTACAGAATCATTCACTGCAGGAACATCAACCATCAACTGAAGTTCATCACCAACCCTTGAACCCCAATTCAAGGACATCAGGACCTATTTCAGTCGAGGGTAAGCTTTTAATTACTTGTTTTTTAAGTATTTATTTGCTTTGCCTTTTTTAATTTTTACTTTATCTCTATTTAAATGTTTTTTTTAATTACTTTTCTTTCTTTATTTTTACTATAACTTGTTTTAACGCTTTCCTTTCCTTTTTATGTATATTAATACTAGTTTTTATTCACTTTCACCTTGTAAATTCTTTTCCTTTTACTAATTTGAGAACCTTTTACAGAATCATTCACTGCAGGAACATCAACCATCAACTGAAGTTCATCACCAACCCTTGAACCCCAATTCAAGGACATCAGTACCTATTTCAGTCGAGGGTAAGCTTTTAATTACTTGTTTTTTAAGTATTTATTTGCTTTGCCTTTTTTAATTTTTACTTTATCTCTATTTAAATGTTTTTTTTAATTACTTTTCTTTCTTTATTTTTACTATAACTTGTTTTAACGCTTTCCTTTCCTTTTTATGTATATTAATACTAGTTTTTATTCACTTTCACCTTGTAAATTCTTTTCCTTTTACTAATTTGAGAACCTTTTACAGAATCATTCACTGCAGGAACATCAACCATCAACTGAAGTTCATCACCAACCCTTGAACCCCAATTCAAGGACATCAGTACCTATTTCAGTCGAGGGTAAGCTTTTAATTACTTGTTTTTTAAGTATTTATTTGCTTTGCCTTTTTTAATTTTTACTTTATCTCTATTTAAATGTTTTTTTTAATTACTTTTCTTTCTTTATTTTTACTATAACTTGTTTTAACGCTTTCCTTTCCTTTTTATGTATATTAATACTAGTTTTTATTCACTTTCACCTTGTAAATTCTTTTCCTTTTACTAATTTGAGAACCTTTTACAGAATCATTCACTGCAGGAACATCAACCATCAACTGAAGTTCATCACCAACCCTTGAACCCCAATTCAAGGACATCAGTACCTATTTCAGTCGAGGGTAAGCTTTTAATTACTTGTTTTTTAAGTATTTATTTGCTTTGCCTTTTTTAATTTTTACTTTATCTCTATTTAAATGTTTTTTTTAATTACTTTTCTTTCTTTATTTTTACTATAACTTGTTTTAACGCTTTCCTTTCCTTTTTATGTATATTAATACTAGTTTTTATTCACTTTCACCTTGTAAATTCTTTTCCTTTTACTAATTTGAGAACCTTTTACAGAATCATTCACTGCAGGAACATCAACCATCAACTGAAGTTCATCACCAACCCTTGAACCCCAATTCAAGGACATCAGTACCTATTTCAGTCGAGGGTAAGCTTTTAATTACTTGTTTTTTAAGTATTTATTTGCTTTGCCTTTTTTAATTTTTACTTTATCTCTATTTAAATGTTTTTTTTAATTACTTTTCTTTCTTTATTTTTACTATAACTTGTTTTAACGCTTTCCTTTCCTTTTTATGTATATTAATACTAGTTTTTATTCACTTTCACCTTGTAAATTCTTTTCCTTTTACTAATTTGAGAACCTTTTACAGAATCATTCACTGCAGGAACATCAACCATCAACTGAAGTTCATCACCAACCCTTGAACCCCAATTCAAGGACATCAGTACCTATTTCAGTCGAGGGTAAGCTTTTAATTACTTGTTTTTTAAGTATTTATTTGCTTTGCCTTTTTTAATTTTTACTTTATCTCTATTTAAATGTTTTTTTTAATTACTTTTCTTTCTTTATTTTTACTATAACTTGTTTTAACGCTTTCCTTTCCTTTTTATGTATATTAATACTAGTTTTTATTCACTTTNCGCGTCCTGCACCCGAGGCGATCCCCGGGTGCCACCCCGCGTCCTGCACCCGGGGCGATCCCCGGGTGCCACCCCGCGTCCTGCACCCGAGGCGATCCCCGGGTGCCACCTCGCGTCCTGCACCCGGGGTGATCACCGGGTGCCACCTCCCGTCCCCAGACCCCTTTAGAGGCCGTAGCGCCCCTCCCCGCGTCCTGCACCCGGGGCGATCCCCGGGTGCCCTCCCCGTGCCCTAACGCTTCGGGGTTGAAAGATTTCGAATTTGAGGATTCCCAGTGCGAAAACGTCGAATTTCAAAGATTTCGAAGTTCGAAGTTCTCGTACCTGGAGATCCTGGAATCCGATTCCTTCCAACCCCAGAGCTTTGGGGCCCCGAAGTCTTCGGATCCTTGGGTCCGCTGGTGTAGTTCCTCCATGTCCTGGTGGTCCTCATGTTCTCCACTGATTGAGATTCCACCTGTTGTTGACTTCGATGTCCATCACTGGTCCTGCTACCTAAAAAAAAAAGAAGGAAAAGATACAGACAGAATTAGTATAAGAATTAAGTCTTATGTAAAAGAAATGGTTAAAATAAAGTTAAAATGAAATGGAGGTTTATTATTTTTAAATAGTCTAAATATAAATAAAAAGAAAATAAATACCGTAATGTAGATATAATAAACTAAGGAAAACGGGTTTTAAGAAAAACTACTAAAATGTGAAGATGATAAATCAAAAGAAAAAAGTTTTAAGTTAATACAAATTGTCAAATAAATAAATAAATACAAATTAAAAGAAATAAAGCCTATACTGTTGGAAAGTAGAAGTTATAAGAAAAAGTAAAAGGTAAGTGAAAAAAATAAATAAGATAAGTGAAGAATACAAAAATAGTCTTTGGAAATGTAGAAAAAGAAAGACAAGTTCCGAATATAATAGGAAACAAAGAAAATTTCTGAAAAATATAATAAATAAAGAAATATTACAGAAATTTACATTGGTGTGCCTTTTACCTTGACTGGGTCCATAAATAGTGGAATGGATTTCACTGGTCTGGTCCTTTGTGCCCTAGTGGACTTGATGTTCTGCACTAATCATGATTCCACTTGTTAGCTTCAATATTGATGACTGGTTCTACTAGATAAAAAGAAAGAAAAGACATGAATTAAATTACTGCTTAGTTTAGTATAAGAGTTAAATCTAAATGTATAAGAAAAAGATTTATTGTACATCACAGTATTATTTAAAGTTTAAAAGTATATACAAAGAAAATAAGAATTCAAATGTAGATATAATAAATTAAACAAAGAAAAGTTTATATTTTTCAAGACTAATTTTGCCAAAAAACCAACAATAGTTCTGCAATGAACTTTTTATTTATTACAGTGTGACGTTTCGATAGTCAATTTCGGTTATCATCAGGCTAAAAAAACGAACAAAAGTCACACATCAATGTACAAGAAAAGATTTTGAATAAATTTAAAATTGAATGTAAAGAAGGAAGTTTTGTAAGTATTGAATGTAAACACATCTACGAATTTAAAAAAATATACATTTTGAGAAAATGCCTTAAAGTGAGGAAAATGAAAGTATAAATTTTGAGTGTAATTTTAATCAACTGTACCTGCTTATGATAATATAATATATACGTACATGCCAATTATTGATTATGATGCCGTAGTTCTGTTCACATATCTAATAGATTCGATGCTCATCTTTAATCCTGGGCAGTTTTGTAGATTACAGGACTCAGTCTTGTCCGAATGTCCTGCCTGGATAACTAAAAAGAGAGAAAATATTTAAGTTCAAGTCCAGGATAAGAATTTGAAAAAAGGATAGATTAAAAAACGTGTCAATGTAAAATAAAAGGTTCTGGATAAAGTTAAAATTACATATAAAAGAAAGGGAGTTTTTTAAATATTAAAAGTAAAGATTTCAAAGTGTAGCTTCAATGAATTAAACAAAAGATATATTTTGAGAAAGTGCCTTAAAGTGAACAGAAAGGAAGTAGAAATTAACTTAAGTAAGATTGAGTGATTATTTGATAAAAGTCAATTCTAATTTTAGTATAACAAATAATAATATACGTATTTACTATAATTTTAACAACTCTACCTGCCTATGTATACATAATATATACCTACATGTCAATTCCTAATTACGATGCCTTAATTGAGTTCAGATTTCCAATAGCTTCGATGCCTGTCTTTAATCCTGGGCAGTTTTGCAGATTACAGGACTCAGTCTTGTTTAAATGTCCTGCCTGGATAACTAAAAAGAGAAAATATTTAAGTTCAAGTCCAGGATAAGAATTAAAAAAAAAGGATAGATTAAAAAACCCCTCAATGCAAAAATATTGAAAGTAAATACTTCTAACTGTAGCTTCAACGAATTAAAAAAAAAGATGCACTTTAAGAAAATGCCTTAATGTGAGCAAAAAGGAAGTATAATTTAATTTAAGTAAAATTGAGTGATTATTTGATACAAGTCAATTCTAATTTTAGTTTTGCAAATAACAATATATGTATTAACTGTAATTTTAATCAACTGTACCTACCAATGAATAAATAATATATACTTACAGGCCTATTCCTAACCATGATGCCTTAGTTGAGTTCAAATCTTCGATAGATTCGATGTGTATCTCTTGTCCTTGGTAGTTCTGATTATTTCAGGTATCAGTCTCGCCCCAATGTCCTTTCAGTATATGAACCATATATGTAGCATTGAGAAAGAGTCCTAAAGCGAATAAAAAAAATTTAAAGATCCGAATAAAATTAACATAATTTAAAGCAGATTAATGAAAGTGAAAACAAGGAAATTTTTTAATAAAAGGAAAGTAAATTAAAAGAAACAAAAAATACGAATAATGTTAAACAAAGTTAAAGAAATTCTAAGAAAATGTTTAACGCAAGTAAAAGAAAAGAAAACAAGAACTAAGAATAAAAATATTACTACATACAATGCGTTAATGATCCTTACTTTGAGCGAAGCGGGCTGATTGATAGTGTGAAAGTCCTGATGTTCCGTAAACTGCATATCTCCCTTGGGATCGATCACTCCATTATTACGTCTCGGATGCTTTAGAACGTGCATGGCTCTAGCTGATCCCGAATTCAAACTGTGGTTACTAAAAAGAAACAAGATCCAAATAGAGTTAATGGAAAACAAAATTTAAATAAAGTTATATACAAAAGTGAGCGTTTATTGAAAGCTTTACACAAAAAAAAACAAAATTTTCAACATTGCTAACGCAAATAAAAGGAACCGAATTATTAAGAAAAAAATTTAAAATAAGTTCGCTACTGATTAATTATGGTTAAAATAAAGANTGTTTTAACCATAAATAATTCAGTAGCGGATTTATTTGAAATCGCACTCGAAATCTGAAGGCACCATTAAATTCTACGTACTTTTTTTACATAATCGTTCCCTATTATGGTTCGGAAGGGTGTTTTCATCTTTTCGCAATTTAACGTGCGCTTTTTTTAGTCTACTCCGTTTTCTTTATTTTAACCGCAAATAATTCAGTAGCGGACTTATTTGAAATCGCACTCGAAATCTAATGGCACCATTAAATTGTATGTACTTTTCTGCGTAATCGTCCGTTATTGTAGTTCGGAGTACAAGAATTTAGTTATTGAAATTTGCTGTTTTTTATTAGACATTATGCAGTTTTTTAATTAAAATAATTATATATTGTGCCCTTTTTTTTGATGCAGTTCAAAGCTTCACTTTTACTTACTATCTGGAAGTGCAGAAATGCATTAATACTTATCTTTGTTGTGAAATGAAGTTAATTGTTGATATAAATTAATGCGAATTTCATAATTGTTAGTTGTAGGTGACTCTTTCTATGTTGTAGTTTTATTACCGTTTTAAAATTGTTAACAGCGAGTTTTAGTTCGAAAACTCTCCATAGCACGGTCGTCGATTGCGCCACCAGTCTTTTAATTCTGCCTTTGCTGATCGTGTTTTCACATACGTAAGAAACTGGAAAATTCCGTAGTTGTTTCCTATTTTTGAGCAATAATGTGTTTTCGTTAAATCGTTTCCGAAAAATTGCAATTTGTGCACGTTCAGGCAGCAAAATATGTGGCGAAATCAAAAGCGAAATATGTAGTGATATCAATATTTGCGTTTTCTAAGGTGATATAAGCATTTCTTTCATTATCAGAAATGTTGTTAATAAAAACACCATTTGTTGTTATCGAGTTAGAAAGTGTTACCTACCCATTGATAAAACCAATGCAGTATTTTGTGTAATGTGGAGCATTTCTAAGAAGTACCAGAGAATTATAACTACTTTCCGGTGAGTTTTTGTGATTTGGTCTTTTTTCTCGAATTTCTGGTGATAAGTGTAATTTTGGAGTTTTTGTTTTAATAAGGGTCATGTTTCAGGTTAATCATAAACTATTTCAATAATTTCGAAGTAGTTCGGCTATGATTTTAAGCATATTAATTCAGTTTATAAGAAATTCGCAGTTGTAATTGTTTAACTAAAAATTGCTTCTACAAATGTTTTCAAAATTACTATTATAGTGTATTCTGTACAGAAAAATGTTTATATATTTAAATTTTTGGGTTTAAAAAGTTAATACAACCGTAACCGCTCACCGCTATTTTTCGCAATTTAACGGTACTTAAGGCCGGCTCGTTAGCTAGTCTAGCGGTAATACGGTCGCAGATCGTAGGTTGACTGCCTAGACGCTGAGTGAGGGTACCTATAGCAAAGCGTTATTAGGTGGAATAGGCCAAACGGGCGACTGTAAGTCCGGCGGTGTATTACCCCCGTATTTTCCACTGTTCCAGTTATCGGTTAATCGTCGACTTCGNATTTTTCGAAAACTCACTAGTTGAATGTCTGAGAAATCGATCTAAAAACAAATAATTGCAGGTTTGAATAAAGGCTCCAATTATTTTGTTGTAAAAATTGCTGTGTTGTTTTTATATTTAACTTTATTAAACTTGCGTCATACATAGCTTTTTTAAACATGTACTACAAAGATAATGTTTTTTTGTCTATTCTGTAATGTGTGGGGAATAATTTCGGAAATGAACGAACCAAAACTGAATGCTCTTTCATTGCTTGAATGCTTTACTGTTCACGTGGTGGTTGTCAGCTAAATTTAATATTTTTAAATATAATAAAGCTCTTTTTATAGTTAAGAATAATTATAACATTTTCCCAAGCGCAATTTTCTATCCTTTATATTCCGAATACTTGCTCTCTCATCAAACAGTCCTATGATTGAACGGTCGGCCGAGAGAACAAGATATTTTCCTCGTTTTGATATAAATTGAAATTAGAAATTTGTTTTGAAAATTAATGCACTATTTTTGTATTAATTGAGCTCTTATACAGCTATTTTAGAAAAAGAGTATCCCAGTTTATCTATTCTGTAATGTTTAGGAGATAATCTTTTTTAGATTAACGAACCAAAGCTGACAGCTCATTCATTGTATTTATTATATACCATTATCGGGGTGGTTGTAATCCATATTTAATATTTTTAAATATAATAAAGCTCTTTCTTCTAATTAAGAATAGTAATAATATTTTTCCAAGCGTAATTTTCTATCTTTTATTTTCCGAATACTTTCTCTCTCATCAAACAGTCGTATGCTTGAACGGTCGACCGAGAGAATAAGACATTTTGTTCGTCTTGATATAAATAGCAATTAAAATTTTGTTTTGAAACCTAATGCTTAATTTTTGTATGAATCTCGGTTTTTTACACTCAATTGTACTACAATGAGAATGTGTTGGTTTATCTATTCTGTAATGTATGGGGAATAATCTCGAACTAAAGCTGAAAGTTCTTTCATTTTTTTCAATACTGTACCATTATCGAGATTTTCTCGTAAATTTAATATTTTCAAATATAATAAAGCCCTTTTTGTCTTTAATAACAGATATAACATTTTTAAAAGCTTAATTTTCTATCATTTATCCTCCCAGTACTTTCTCTATCATCAAACAGTCATATATTCTTGAACGTTTAGCAACGAGAACAAGGCATTATTTTAATATATGATTATAATGAACCATTATTGTTAAAATCACCAATTCGAGTTCTTATTTTTTTTTTGAAACGTAGAAAAATTATTCGTTCATCATTTATTCGGAAACTGGCACATTCTAAACGTTTGTATTTTTTGCTTTTACTGCAGTTATTTTTGGTTTACTTCCCTCTCCAAGGAGGCGAAGATTTTCTAGAAATCCTGCCCTGAAACAATGTTAACAGGTTACTACCTCAAGGGTGATGGCTCCGATTATCCTTACTATAGTACTATTTCTTCCTAATTGATTTTACCATTCAGAACAAAAACAAAAAAAAAAGTTCTGTAGATTGTTTTCACCTAATCGTAATTTAACGTCGATCAAAATTTGAAGACGCTATTTAATTCTACGTAATTTTTGACATAACCATCCCCTATTATAGTTTGGAAGGGTGTTTTCATCTAATCGTAATTTAACGAGCGCTTTTTTCTCTCTACGCTGTTTTCTCTATTTTAACCATAAACAATTCAGTAGCGGACTTATTTGAAGTCGCATTCGAAATCTGATGGCACCATTACATTCTACGTACTTTTTGACTTAACCGTCCCTTATTATAGTTGAGAAGG